GGGTACCAGAATCATATAAAAGATCCAAATGTAACTGGGTACACGTATCAGAACCATATACCAGATCCACATATAAAAGGGTACCAGAATCAAATAACAGATATACACTAGTAATTTTTTGGGCCCTTTATAGCTTACTGTTCGGTGTGAGCCAAGGCTCCGTGTTGAAGACCGTACTTTGACCTATAATGGTTTACTTTTTTAAATTTGGACTTGGATGGAGAGTTGTCTCATTGGCACTCATACCACATCTTCTTATATCTAAGAAATGCCAAATGATCCATTAATTGGCTTACACCTTCTAGGGCAATAACCTTCCCAGATGAGAATGTCATATATGCATAAAGCCCAAATGAAGACATATCCATGACAATTGCCACCTCCCTGCTATACGAACAGGCAAGCAAAATAGGGCAAATAATCTGAAAAGGGAACAATTCTTGAGCAGATACCACGAACACAGGCAGACCTAATTCAATTCATTAATGTAACACAAGTTCAATGAAAAATCTTGTGATATGCCACCCAGTACATCTTAATTCCATCCTACTTAGCATCTGTACATATGAGCCATAACCTACAGTCAGAGATATATATACTAAATATGTCTCTGCTACAGTGGATGCTGAATGTGCCAATATTGTTACTGTGAAAATGTGTGTAACTGTCGAAAGTTTACACAATGTGGAAAAACTGTGTTATCAGCTCCAGAAAAGAGAACAAACAAAAACTGAATTCCATAACCTATCAAACTGACAGAAATATCACTACGTCAACTGCCGATCCTTACACAAGTCCGTCCTCAAATGTGATGACAAATACTGAATGATCAGAGCAATGAGAAAGCCTATCTTCTACGAATTATCAAGCCTTAAAAGTAACACGGTTAAATTAACAGTCACTAAATAAAATTTACATTGTAAAAATGTACGAAATAATATGAATTATTTAAAAGATATTTTATTGAAGGTAGATTCACTGTATGCTGCCATCTTGGATTGCAAGATATCAGATCTAGTTTTTTTTCTTTAATGTGCAAGTTTTGAGACAGATATGAATCTTATTTGTAAGACTGAAAAATAAGTGAGTTACTGCATTGTTTAGACTGTTTTAACAAATACCATATAATTTTGTTCGATTCAGTTTTTCAACTTAGCCATATAAGGGGAGATAATTCTTTTAGAAAAAATTGCATAAAGGAATGTTACTGAGATTTTAATTGTTTGCTTCTAGCAAGAAAATAAGTTCAGTGACACCAATTTTTCTTTTTATTTTATTAAAGCATATTATAAAACCTATCTTCTCATACTTTATTTCAAAATTTAATCTCAAAGTTTACTTTTTATTAAAAAAAAAATCTTTTTTCATGAATAATCTATGCAAAATTGGACAATTTTGGACGACTTCTAGCTTGAAAAATAGCACGGTGACTCATACTTTCTATTATATTTTTGAAAAATAATTGGTAAAATACTTAGGAAACATAGTGATGATCCACCTTAAGAAAAATGATGACATTATTTGTCTACAAGAGCACTGGCTTCGGTTAATAAACTTAACCCAATTGAACCAACTCATCGACCACGTGGTGTGGAAGCCATACTTTAGAAAGAAATTATCAAACATTTGATAGAGAAACTAGAGGAGGTAAATGAGAGAATAGTTGATGTCAAAGTTGATGTAGCTACAAAACCTTACATCCTTATGTGTGTACATGCCATTCAGAGGCTTCAAGTACGTAAATTTAGATTTTAATGACATGTTAGATGAATTAATTGTCAATAAATCTCACCAAAATTTAAACATGTAGTGTGTGGTTACTGGGTTTTTAAGAAATATCCAGTAGAGTTAGAAACAACAAATTAACGGCAGGCAAGGAACTTTCTCAAGAAAACATACCTTACCATCAATAAAACTGATGAAACCTTTATAAATCCCAAAAGGACAAGAAGTCAAGGTCGTTAAAAACTTCCATTTGTTGTAAGTCTCCACCATTGATTACATCTACAAGAGCAATGGTGTTGACCAGGCCTACATCGAATAGAACGCCTAGATATGTTAACAAAAAATACCACAGATAATCATTCCGTCCGTACCATACTACAATGCCATTTTAAATCAAAAATACTCAAAACAGAGAAAAAGCAAAATCGATTCAAAATAAATTGGTCAGAAATTGATGTTGGGAAGTATCAAACAGAAATGACAAACACATTCAATGAGCTGGCCATGGAAAGCTAAAGAAAAAATATTGATGTAATAGATCTCATCAATTCTATAACTATAGTGCAAGAAATAAATTATCAAAAAGATTAAACATTACAAGCATAAAACCGCTATATAGAACGATGCGATATCACTTGCATTAAAAACAACAACGTTAACAAAGCCTTATTTGAAAGGGAAAAAATCATGGCAAACCAAAATCAGACTAAAGTGTATAGGCTATTATTATTTCATATACCTCACAAACTGAAATAAACTACATGTAAATAAAAACTGTTCTAGATTGAAAGCTTACCACTAGAATAAAACTGATAAATATTTAAATCTACATTATTTTTTTTTATCTATTGTTCAACGATGTTTCATGTGTGATGTAAACAGCTTCATAATAGCAGGCCCGAGAGGACAGTTATTTCGTAATGCATTTCTTTAAAAAATAAATGCAAATTAAAAAAAAAAAGAACCTGCTCTATCCCAATAAGATTTTTACAGTGTAGTGTACTACTTTTGGGACAAATTATATCAAAATTATAGAAAGTTCTCGGTTCTGACTCAAAATATGGCCAAATTTTTGTTAAGGGGGTCTATAAATCAGTTTGACAGCTTCAAACATACTTATTTTTAATCTTTTTCAACTAGAACAAATCACTACTTTTAATACCTAAAAATTCAAAAGACCTAGCATGTTCACATGGAATAAACTTCTGCTGTCTGTTACAGTGCTATTCAGTACTAGTATCCATTCCATTTCACTTTCAAGGTATGAAATGTTACTAACTGTGCATAGACATAAGTATTCATCACTTACAATTTTTTCCAATATATTTCTTATAAAATTATATTTTACAAAAAAATATTTTGATGGCGTTTGTGTTTGGATTTATACAAACCACTTGTTGAAAGATGCTGATTGTTCTGAATTCCATTTGTTTATTTGGTGATATTTTTGTCTTCCATTTTTTTCTTTTTGTCTTGATGTAAACACACAGATAATTAAGGTCCCACATCAAGGATGCAGAAGCCCTATAGTTTTCATAATCCCTCTGTTCCTCCAAAAATTTTCTAAACATAAAAATCCAAAAGTATAGGTTGAGAGGCCTAAGAAATTTTGCACAGTTGTTGTGCATAATATGTAGACGTGCAATATATATATTTGGTGTAATTCAGCTCATCAATTTTTGAAAAAACTGCGTAATGGTTAAAAAATTTGTAAGGGTTCCGCTGAACCCAGTGTCTCGCCTACTTTTGCTGCTAGTCACAGGCTCAACAAAAATGGGAAAAAATGTATTAAAAATTTTCCTATAGATACTATCTTTTGATTGTAAGAAGCTTCTGTCCAAGTTTGGTAAAAATCCAGAATGGTTTATGAATCTAATAAATGTTTTAAAAACTTTAACTACAGACTGTATGTAATGTTAACTGGAAGAAAAACTAAGTCCATTTATAAGTTATATACGAAAAAACAGGAAATAAATTTTTACAAAATTTCCTTCTAGATACTAGCTTTTGATCATAAACAAGCTTCTGTCTAAGTTTGGTACAAATCCAGGATAGTTTAAGAAAGTTATCAAAATTTTTAAAACTTTAACCACAGAGTGAATGTTATGTTAACTGGCAGGAAAACTATGTCTATTTATAAGTAAAATACAGATAAATAGGATTTTTTTTTTCACAAAATTTACTTCTGGATACTATCTAATGATCATAAACAAGCTTCTGTCCAAGTTTGGTAGAAATCCAGGATAGTTTAAGAAAGTTATTAAAATTTCAAAAACTTTAACCACAGAGTGAATATTTGTGGACGCCGCCGACGACGACGGAATGTAGGATCACTATGTCTCGCTTTTGCGACAAAAGTCCAATTAAGTCGCAGGCCGGACAAAAATCACTTTTGAGAAATGTCTTTTGTAAACGCAAAAACTCAAAAAGTATAGGTTGGGGGTCATTAAATTTTGCACAGTTGTTGTGCATAATATGTAGATGTGCAGATTATATTTTCTGAAATTTGGCTAATCAATTTTAACTTTGTTTTTGTTAAAAAATCATGAATTTTGAGAAATGTCTTCATATAATAGGATCTTAACAAAAACTGATATATATTTTATAGGCATAATATCATTCCAAATTGTTTCCTCTAGTCAAAACTGTGTTAAAAACTTACTTTTTCTTAAAAAAAGTTAAATTCTGTGAATCATGTTTCTTGCTAGGATTTAAATGAAAAAGGTAAGATTTGCTATTATTATTGATTCTATGTGTCAAAATTATTGATTGTCCACCAAAATACATGTCATAGTGCTTGGATTTTAACAAAACATATGTCAAACAAGAACACATCTGGAACTAATTGATTGAGTCAAAACTTATTAAAAATGACAACCAATAAACATTTGCTTTGTATGCATCCGTCCCTTTGCTTCACATAAAAATGTGCAAGCAGGGCCCTGGCTGACATGTCAGTTTTCTCTAGTTCTTTACAATTTATTTAAGTTGAAATAGACAGTAGATTTCCTGTCAGATGTTAAACGATACTTGTGATTAAATCATCAGAAAACGACAATGGTTCATTACAAAATTCGAACAAAATACAAAATTCCAAACTAGTATGTTACAAGTTGATTGAGATCCAACCAGAAGTGCCCCATATTTTATGTTATGAATACAATGAGGTTTAATATGAAATATATAGCAAAAAGTCACAAGTGAGGAATTCTTATGTCCATTCACTGCAGCTTATCCAAACTTATAAGGAAGACATTGTAACCAATTAATAAAAATGATATTCATAAATATTTTAATATAAATACAAAACAATGAAAAATAGTTATTTTTTATGAAGTCTCATATGTTGTGCAATACTTTTTGAAGCTTGAAGTGCAGTTTTATCTTTTCCATAATAATCAACAAACTCTCCTTTGGGACTAATTAAGTACATCACAATAGTATGATCAACCTGAAAAATAAATTTTAAAAAATTCAACAAAAAGTAAACTGCATGCATTTAGAAAAAGATAAATATTTATGTACGTACACAAATATTGACATCGTCTCCAATATTTTTCCAAAATTTTTAGCATCACGTCAGAAAGATTTAATGTTTCAAACCAAATGAGATCGTTTTGTATAAGGCATATCAACCTGCACAAAATATAGGTCAGTTGTAGTAAAATTCTGGAACCTGAATTGGAGTTGCATTGGAGTTGAATTAATTGAAAATTGAAGATCAGGTAAAATCAGACTATACTGCAGACTACCAACAACTTCAAAGAAAAGACATTTTGGATCAGATTAGAAAAGACTTGAATATCTTTCCAAACTGTCTAAAATCAATAAAAGATCATAATGCCTTCAAAAATGAAAAAGAGGCCACATATAAACAGGAAGATCCTAGGAGCCAGTATTGCTCACCTGGTATTTTGTATAAAGTTGAAACCTCACAATAAGAATATTTCTGATAGTTTCTGGCAAAATAGCTAAAACTTGTTAAAAATAGTCTTTCAAATGCAATAACTTCTATAAGGAGTCCCCCTGACAATTTCAGCCAAATAAGCCTTATTGTAAAATCTGTCCTGATGATCATTTTTGCTGTTATCATTTTTTTCTCTATCTACTACATTTGTGTGTACTATAGTTTCTGTAAAAAACACAAAAATGGGTATAATCCTCTTTCAAGGACAATAACTCCTATAAGAAGCAGAATGACCATTTCAGTCATGCGAACTTATTTGAAGATCTTTTCCTGTTGTTTACAGTTTACTTTATTATATTTTTAAGAAAATAGCTAAATTGACAAAAAAATGGTAAATTAACTGACCTATTACATGCAATTTCACAGGACCTCAAGAGGCAACTTAGATTTAATTGTTCTGTTTCATACCAACATAAACACACACTTCTCTTCTAAACCATGTTGTAAACATCCAATGCAGAAACTCAGATGGTAAAGGTTAGCAGTGATATTGTCGTCTTTTTTCAAAACTACCTCTACCGTTTTTGGGAAAAATGCATAATTTTTATTGAAATTGGGAAGTTTTTTTGTTTTTTTTTAACACATCTCCGATTTTTTGCTGACCTTTGCTGTTTTTTTTGCACAGTTTTTTCAAGTATATTTTGATTGTCAGACATTTTCAACCTGAAAGGAACTTTTTGGGGAGGGGAAAGAAACGGAAACAATGATGGTACTTAATACATTGAAAACCATTTGTGTTACAAACACCGTGATGATTCTAATCAGAAACCTGGATCTCAAAAGTGCTTTCATAATATCAAAATAATAAAATTGAGAATGAAAATGAGGAATGTGTCAAAGAGACAACAACCCGACCACAGAACAGACAACAGCAGAAGGCCACCAATAACATGAATACGAAATTTACATACATTACTACCGATGCCATTACTGTTTGGGAAAAATGTAAAGCTTATTGGGAGGAATTTTATGCCATTTTTTTTTAGTAATTGGGAATTTTCTTTAGGGGAAAAAGCCGAATTTCGGATGTAATTTGAGGCAAACAACATCACTGGTTAGCCATAAATATATCAGTTATTGTACGAGTCACAGATGTTAAAAATTTGGTTTAAAAATGAAAAGAAACATTACAATGCACTCTCGTTTCCAATGTTTTCAGTTCACACTGGCACCCACAATATTGGTACTTACAATATAATCTCCATCTTCATCAACTGGTCCCTTGCTGTAATATACTCTAAATGTTCTGGTCACTTGTTGTATTTGTTCATGGGTACCAGTAAGTCCTAATAGTTTTGGAGAAAATTCTGAAAATAAAACAAAACACTGATTGCAACATGAATACTCTAATAAACTGCAAATTGCTTGCAAGAAAACATATCCTTATTGTTCAGTCAAGGGTTAAAAACATATCCTTATTGTTCAGTCAAGGGTTAAAAACATATCCTTATTGTTCAGTCAAGGGTTAAAAACATATCCTTATTGTTCAGTCAAGGGTTAAAAACATATCCTTATTGTTCAGTCAAGGGTTAAAAACATATCCTTATTGTTCAGTCAAGGGTTAAAAACATATCCTTATTGTTCAGTCAAGGGTTAAAAACATTGCCTCATTCAAAAATTTTCATATATACAAAGAGTTGTAAGATATGTCTCTACTGTGTGCATAATTTCGATAGTTTATTGCAAATGATGAAATTTAAATTGTAACACTGTATGACTTTTTTTCCTCTCAAGAAAATGATATAATAACTAGTATCTCAATTTTTTGTAAAACAATTGAAAGGTCTTTCCCTTAAAAGTCTGATATATGTAATGTACTCTTTACAACCATTCTTTTGATATGCGACAAGCATATCTTCTTAAATCTTTCACTTTTCGCACTTAATGTCCCTATCCACCTCAATTTTTGAGATCAGAAGTATGATATTTGTAATGTAGACTTGATGTCCTTTCATTTGATATGTGCCTTCACCATCTATTAGGATGTTGGATTTTTTGCACTTAATAACTCTATCCAACTTATTTTTATGGGACAGGAATTTGATATTTGAAATGTACATATTATGACCTATCATTTGGTATTCAACAATCTTACTTTTGAAGACAATTTATTTTTGCACTCAATGACCCCAACCAACACATTTTTGAGGGACAGAAATTTGATATTTGAAATGTACGCATTATGGACTTTCATTTGATATGCAACAACCTTACCATCTTAAAGTTTTAATTTTTTTGCACCTACCCTTCTCTTTAGGAATATAAGCCCCCCTCACAAAATTTCAAACTGTAATATCTGTAAAATGTCTACAGATATCTCAAATCTGTTAAGTGTAAGATGATCTGCAGATGCAGAACACTGTCAAAAAATAATTGGGGCAATTTCATATGTCATTAAGGGCACAATGAATAATTAAATATACTACCACTGTTCAACTCAGGACCACTTGCCCTTTCAAAAGGTCACAAGGTTATAGTACCCTTTAAAGGTCAAGGTGAAATTTCTTGACCTTGACATTGACCTTGAATTGAAGATCTTAAAACACTGATCATTTTTGCAGTTTATAGTAGGTTGATATTTGTTACCATTTGAAAGATATACACAAAAACTATACTTTAAAGAATTATCTCGTCGTAACTTTTGAACGGATGGTCACACAGTTTTGGATCTATGTATAACATGTAGAGCTCTTTGAGAGGAACATTGTACATGCTGTGTGTATGCAGATATCTCTTATTGTTTTCTTTACATTTAAGCTTGAAATTTCAGTGTAAAAACTTTTTTGCACTCTATGACATTTGACCTTGGGTGCAAATGAACGTCACATGAACTTAAGATTATTGGTGAAGGTCCCATGTCTCTGGAACTTCCGGTTCTGGAAATATAAAAAAACAATAAAAGGAAAATAACTTCTAAAGGGGATATATCTCAAAGGGGATAAAGTTCTATGCAGCCTCATCTGTTAATACTTCATGATGAGATCTACCTATTATCCAAATATGTCTTCAAAAACAACTAGGGGGGGGGGTGCATGATGAGGTATATCGATGGTCCAAATTTGGTCTTGATAACCTCAATAGAAACGGTGGGAGGCCACGACAAATATGTTTGAAAAAAAATAGAAAAAACATTAAAAAACACAATAAGGTCTTTCCCAATGTAGGGGAAACAATTTATACTCCATTTCTCATCTAAGTCTGATATATCAGTATATAAATTGACCTATCACAACTTAAGGGTGTAAACTATCCAAAATTCAAAGTGAATGGACCATGTATGTATATTACTTAAAGGCCATTTATAAGTAAAAACTGAAAAATGAACAAAAATCAAATTTTTTATTTTTAAAAACTATAATTTTTTAAGAAGCTTGTGTCCAAGTTTCATAACATTCCACCAAAAATTAGACAACATTATTAATGTGTAATAAATTTAGTCCCGGATTGTATGTACATGTTAACTGTAAAAAAAAAATATGTATACTTATCAGTAAAATATGAAAAAATGAAGAAAAAAAATTTCAAAAATTTTACACTGGATCATAACTGTCTTCCTATCATTAGCTTTATGTGCATACTTGATAAACTGCCAAGTCCAAGTTTTATACAAATTCATAAATGTTTGACAAAGTTATTGATGTTTAAAAATAAATTTAACAACAGACTGAACCTAAATGTTGAGGCCGTCACAGAAAGAAGGATCATATGTCTTGTTTCATTGAGAAATTGTTCCAGGCTCCACAAAAAGTAGACCAAAATTGAATTTACAGCATAAGAAATGCATAACTTAGGGGTCATAACTTTGTCATTTACAAATTTGTGATGTGCTAATAAGGATTTATTTTGTATTATTAGTTATATCATATCTATTTCTACGTAAAATTTGTAGTATTTTAATCAGATTGAACAAATACATCAAATCTAAATGACAATTTTCAACTTTTGTGAACCTTCTCTAATGACATATTAAAAAAAAAAACTAGAAAACTTTGAAAAAGTGACATATAGAAAACTTACTATATGTACTATGTTCAAAACTCTTTTAACCCATGACATCATTCAGGAAGTTTAAATATTTTTTTTCATTTAAATTCAATAGAGATATTTTTTGTTAAATAACAATGCTTAAAAAACATGATACCCATGCACTGATATTTTCATACAATTGGTGATGGGATTGAAAATAAGAACTATGATCAGAACAAGTATTCACCACAGAAGGAAGTATTTAGTAAGTAATAAGATATAAACTATAACTCCAAATAATTACAAATGTATTATGGCAAAAAATTTGTTATTCATTGTGTTGTTTTTTAATGCAGGGTTTTAACACAGATTCAACATATTAACAAAGATTCTGCATAAAACGTAGGTATTACGATTACCAGTTACAACTTTCAAAATGACTTATACAAGAAGGCTTTTCTAATTTCTATGTATCAATATTTATCATAACATTATGACAGTATCTTCACAAGTAATTCAATAAATGTTAATACATGTACCCCAGCAATGACAGAAGTATTTCCATCGGTCAGTCATTATTATTTCTGCACACTGCAACTCCATGGATCTCAGCAAAACAAAAATCACATCTTATACACTGAGAATCTGAGGGTCTATTTCTATTGCTTAATTATAAGATGTGGTATGATTGCCAATGAGACAAATATCCAGACCACCTAAGTCCAATTAATATGGATGAAAGCAACAGTAGGTCACTGTAAGGCCTTCAACAATGAGCAACACCCATAATGTATAGTCAACTATAAAAAACCCTGACATGACAAAATTTTATACAATTCAATTCAAATGGGGAAACCAAGTGCCTGATTTATGACAAAACAATAACAATATGACAGACAACATCCAAAAACAACCATTAAATTACTGACTCATGACTTGGGATAGATATATCAAGAATGTGGTGGGGTAAACATGTTTGTGAGGGCTTAACCCTCCCCTAACTTGGAACAGTGGTGTGACAGCACAACATATAGAACAAGCATTCTGAGAGTATTGCATGGCAATACATAGTCCCCTACCGGGTAAAAATTCATTATACTGGAACAAAATGCTAACTTGTTATATAACTTGCCATGGTGTAAACAAAAAGTAAATATCATGTCAATATCTTCAAGCATGACTAAAAACAGTGTGGAAAACTGATTATATGAGTGAATTTTTCAAGTCCAAGGACCATAACTCTGCACAAAATTATTAGACCAAAACAAAAATTTGAACTTGATCTGTAACTTGTCATGATAAAACTATATACCAATTATCAATCAATATCGTTTAAGCATGATGAAAAAAACATAAGATATGATTAATAGTTCTCTAAAATTAGATATGATGTAATACAGTGTATATCTATTTTCAAATTATAATCAAATATAATTAATAGTTCCAAATATTTTTTCTTTCATTTGTCACAAACTAATATAGATTTGTAACTTATCTATAAAATGTCAACAACTTTTATCTACACAATGTAATGTATTGAAATATTTACATAATAAAAATAGATTATTATCTTATTAAAGGATTTCTCTTCATAATTTTTTTTTATATATATAGCATTCAGAAAATTAGTTTATACTAAACATGCTAAATAACTAACAAACCTGCCAAAAAATTCTTCAAATAATTGAACAAAGAATGTCTTTTAAAAAATTAGTTATCTCCCTTTGTACAGAAATATGGTTTAACATAGTACTCTAACATTAGATATGGTCCAGAGTTATGGTCCATAACTCTGGATTAAATCATCAGACCGGAACAAAATTTGAAATTGATCTATAACTTGTCATGATAAAACTATATACCAAATATCAAATCAATATCTTCAAGAACGAAGAAAAAAAGTGTGGAAAGCTGATTTGCCGGACTGACAGAAGGACAGACAGACAGACAGACAAACAGACGGACAGACGGACAGAGTGCAAACCTGAAGTCCCCTTCGACTTTGTCGGTAAGGGACTAAAAACTGTAAAATCAGTTGGAAATCTGAATAGCATGAAGCCCAAAGACAACTACTGTTTTTTAATTATTGCCTGCATTTATTATCAAGATTTTAGAAGAATAGATAAAATTGCAAGATTAAATATGTGTTTTCAGAAAAATATGCGTACATATATTTGTATCGAATATCAAAAAGCAAGTTCTTATTATTGCGATACTCACCAAGTCGCATTATTCGCATTAATAAAAACCTTGCAATTATATCTGAATTTACAGTAATATCAAGACAAAACACACTAAGTATTTATCTAAGAGTACTGGCAATTACTGAAAGTTTGACAGCTTTGTAAGATAAGTTCTTGTCTATAAAAATAAGGACATGTGGTATGATTGTCAATGATACAAGTGCTAGTAAGCAATTATAGGCCACCATATGATCTTCAACAATAAGAAAAACCTGTACCGTATAGTCAGCTATAAAAGGACCTGACATGAAAAATGTGACACAATGCAAACAAGATAACAGCTCAATTTAACACAAGTTATTTGGATAGGAAATAAAAAGTATAGTAATGAGGTATTATGCCAAAATAGAAACCTTACATGGGGAGAAACATGTTTTAAGTTATTAGGTATAAGCTTTGATGTTAATCTTGATAGAATTGTAAAAATTAATTATGATGAAAAAATTGTACAAATAAAATGTGTAATTAAACAATGGTCAAAACGAAATCTTACTGTTATTGGTAGAATTACTGTTGTAAAGACATTGATATTGCCTATTTTAAATCATTTGTTTATATCCTTACCAAATCCAAGTGATGATATTTTAAAAAATGTTATTGAACTTATGTACAATTTTATATGGAGTTCACCAATTGATAGAATAAAGAGAGATGTTTTACAAAATGATATTGAAGATGGTGGACTCAAAATGATAAATCTTAGTGCATTTATTTTAGCACTGAAGTGTACATGGATAAGGAGATTATTTAAAACAGACAACAAATGGCAGAATGTTTTTTTGTCAAATGTTCATGTAGAACTTGAAAAATTTTATGGTTGTGGAAGTGTTTATATACAAAAATTACAACAAAATATAAAAAATAAATTTTGGCAAGATGTTCTGAAAGCATGGCAACTTCTCAGAGAAAAAGATGAATATGACAGTTGGGAATGCTTTCTTGCTAGTCCAATCTGGCTTAACAATAATATAAAGGTAGCAAATAAACCTATTTTTTATAAAGATTGGTTTGAAAATGGTATAAGATTTATAAATGATATTGTAAATGAAGATGGGACTTTTTTCTCTCATCAAGAATTAGAAGAAATGTATCAGATAAATGTGAATTTCATGAGATATAATAGTATTATATCTGCTATACATCAAGCATCAAAATCATTTGTGGGAAAAAATCACAAATTAGAACTACCTTTAATTCCATCTGCTATTAAAAGACTTGTTAAAAGTTCAAAAGGATCTAAAGATATGTATATTGTTTTAAATAAAAATAAAAGTGTTCCCACTAGTCAGTTAAGATGGACTGAAATTTTTGGCTTTGATCAAAATCATTGGAAAAAAATTTATAAAATGCCATTTGTTGTCACAAATAATACTAAGTTACAGTGGCTGCAGTATAGATTCAATCATCGAATCTTAGCTACAAACAAATTTCTTCATAAAATTAAGATTTATGATAATCCAAATTGTACATTTTGTAATAGAGAAATTGAAACATTAGAACATTTATTTTGGGATTGTGAACATACACAGATATTATTAGAACAGATTGAAAATTGGTTTCTGACCAATGGAGTTAGTGTATTTTTTACAAAAGAAGTTTTTTTGTTTGGTAACATTGCAAAAATATCAAAAGGCAATGCAGAAAATACTCTTTTTCTTACCATAAAGCAATATGTTTATAATACCAGATGTTTTAAAAAAAAACTGTCAATAAACTCAGTAAAAGAGAAGATGAAATATGTGTATGCAATTGACAAAAATACTGCTATGAAAAACAAATGTGAACATCAGTTTCACAGAGAATGGAACATTTTTGATAGATTACTTAGTTAAGTACAAAAATGTATACACTTTAAATTTAATATTATACATGTTATAAATGAAAATGCTGTATTTACTATGCTAAAATAGAATTCAATGTCTAGATGAATTGTATTGAAAACTCACCACACTATTTTCTCTCACTCTCTTTCTCTCTCTCTCCGGTGTTCAGACTGCTTTACTCTTTATCTTATATTTGTATATTTAAAAAAAAAATTGCTTCCTAATAAAAAGATGTATTGTTAAGATAATATCAATAGATTTATATATTATATATTGTTATTATTTGTGTATACACTGTATTATGTTGTAAATTGGAAGTTATAAATAATAAAAATAAAAAAAAAAAAAGATAACAGCTCAATTTATTACAAAAAATTTAGGAAAAACAAGTATGACAGACATATAGACTGTAATACATGTATGCACTTAATATTGCATTGTTGTTGTCTGTTCTATTTCCATTTTAAATTATAATTTGCTCTTTACCTGTAAGGGTCATTTGAATCCCAAATGCATGACATAAATGTGATGGCCACTTATCATTTACATTTGTGTAAAAAAGAAATATTTTGAAACTGGCTTTTTCCTCAAATAAAGATTTTAAAAGTTTATCATCTCAAAGAATTATTTACCTTTACAATATTTTTTGACGGCTTCTTTACTATCTCTGTCTGGATCAACTGTTACAAACAACGGTACTAGTTCTGGGACACCAGCTGTTTTGCCTGTAAATTATTTTTTTTATAAATTTTACACATGTAAATGATGTAAATGATTGTAAAATGTACATCTTTTGTATTGCAATCTGATCGAAATATAGATCCTGTGTCCATGCTTCCCTACAATGATCTGACAACAATCATTTTTACTTTCTGTTTTAGCGACCTTCGGGATCCTTTGGTTTTATCATTATGATACACTTTAAAGAATTGAAGGCTGTAATTTAATTTGCTGATGTAAACAATATCAATTTTCATGTTTTTTTTTTGATAACATACAATGTATCTGTTTATTTGAAATTTTACCCATTTTTGTCTTTAATATGAGAGACAACTCAAATTTAGAGATCCAGGGAAGTTCCACAAACCATTATCAATAATTATAGTGGTGCCCAATTATATATCATGTACATACATGACATAGCAGTGTTATTAGAAAGAAGAACATTTTTGTCATTATTTGATCAATTGCGAATTATCATATCCACTGGAAGTTTATCAAAGAGGCAAACAATTAATTTTGCATGGAAAAAAAATATGGTAAATTTTTTTTTGCAAAAATATTTCATACCTTTTGCTAATTTTGTGTACATGATTTAGAAAAAAAATAGATGGTATGAAGGATAGGTTACAATAAAGGCCTCATTCTACCTTAATTTGTTTACTGAAATTTGAAATTTATAATTAATGTTTCCATTAAAAAATGAATTATATCCGTTTTAAAGTTGAGGTGATGCAAAATTAGAAATGAGTAATTTTCTATCCATGAGGTCACAATACATGTGCCTGTGAAGTCATGCAAAAGGCCTTTTTAAGAGAACATTGATTTTGGTCCTTTTTCAGATAGTTTTGGAACTGTAATAAAGAGTACATGCCAGTACAAACTAAATAATTTACCACAAGGTCTGTCTATATGAACATCTTTCATGTAAATGTTTTTGTGGTTAGTGTATGTGTATTAAATAACTTGCATGTGCTCAATATTTTTAATTAACAAATATGAATCAAAATATGCAAATCTTGGAATTTTGCTATAATATATTACCTAAGTTTGTGGTTGAATTATTTTTACTATGAATATTTGAACAATCAAATATAACGGATACTTTTCAGTGTTCCCCCCAGGGCCTTTGAGCATCATGTCAATGTGATGCAGTATTGGTTGAATGTAATGGTATCTGAAATGATTAACTCATACATGTAATAGGTTGTGTTGTGGATGTGATGCTATAATTTCTAGAAACAAAAAAAACACATTTTTCAATTTAGTCCTTACTAGGATGCTATATGAAATTGTGGGGGAACACTGTTTAACAATGTACGGCTACTCACCTAAAATATCTACAACTTCACACATTTTTTCTATTTCATCAGGGCAGATATCTGGACAATGTGTGAAACCAAAATAAATAGCCAACCATTTTCCTTGATAGTCTTTATCTGTCTTTGGCTCACCATTGTAGTCAACTAATGACCATTCTCCTCCTATTGCAGCTTTGCCTACTGATGCATTTCTCTCTCTTGCTAATTCTATAATCAAAAGAGGACTGAAATGGTTGAACAGAAGTTCATAAAAAGGCAAAAGGGAGGTTTGTGAGAGCTTAAAACTGGTATAACTCCATCAGATTTTGTGCCTGCACCAAGTTATATATATGTATATATATATATATATTTATAGAATAGGCTATCTGGAAAATGTGGTGGTTTTTTTTTTTGTTTTTTGTGTGTCTTTTTTCTTGGGGCGTCAGTTATAGTGGTCTGTTTTTGGGTCAAACATTATAAGTAATTCCAGATACTCTTTTATGCATTTAATATCAATAAATAAAACTTCAAAGATTTCTTAGTGATGAAACTCCAGCACAAAACTCAAACTAAATACCTTGTTTGCATAGGCAGATCCAGGGAGGGCCCTGGGGGGCCCAGGCCCCCTTTCGTGGGAAAAATTTGGTTGATTATATAGGGAATCACTGAAGCGTGACTGGAATGGCCCCCCCTTAGGTCAGTCAGCGGGCCCCCCTTACAAAAAGTTCTGGATCCACCACTGGTTTGTATATTGTAGGTCATGAGTACGGATTAGTCTACACAAAAATTGTACTCAATGCTTTACAGAAATGCAATATTGAAATATTAATAATAAATTATAAAGAGAAATACCTTTCAACACAAAAAATTACCAAAATCATTCAAGCATGATATCACATGTATAGCCAGGATGAATTAAATATTGTTCAATCATTTTGTCCTATGCAAGATAATTGCAAGTGTAAAATATCCAATGATGAATCTCTGAGTACAGAAGCCAGAATTTCTTAAGCCTCATCATACTCATAATCAATAAATAAAAATGGAACAATTAGATTTTCAATAAATTTACCAAGTACTTGAATCTTTTTTAACACTTAGCAGACAACAGCCGAAGGCCACCAATGGGTCTTCAACGCAGTGAGAAAATCCTGCACCCGGAGGTGGTCGTCATAGATTTGTTGTGCAATGTTGCATCAGATAATAAAATAAATTCTTTAACCTTAACAGGCTGAAACCTTTTAAAACAGGCTTAAATGCACTACTCATTTTAGCAATTTCAGACTTGAATAAAGGTAGATAACTCCTATTTGCAATAATTCTTGAAAAAACTTTACTTACACAACATGCACAAAGTAATTTCAAAATCACTTATTAGGCGGAGTCAAACCAGTGTACATTATATTTAGATTTGATTGGACATTATCAAATAATCAATTTAACTATGTACAGGTTTAACTATGCCTACTTATCATGCTTATATTGTTTGCAGATGTCAATCTTAATTACAATGCTTGAGCAAACATTTATACAAAGAAAGCAAGCAAGTCAACCAAAGTCTTAATCTACAAGCATTAGGAAATTAGCTCTAAATAATTCCCCTGTCTATTTAGTTATCTATTACATGTTATCAGTCAGGTGACTTACTTAAATGAGTGATTTTCTAAATCACTGATTCAAGTAACATTATGTCCATAAAGGTTGGAAGTAAGAGTTGTCTTTCTTTAATAATCACCTATTTAAGTAGTACAAATTAATCACTAGACTAAGTGATTTAATTTTATTGTAGCTTTAAATATAGAATACTAATGATCCAGGGACTAATTATGTTGCAAAAATTATCAGAACCAACATCTGTGTTGATAGAATGACCGGGTCATGTCAGGTGATAACCTTGTACTAAATCTAGGATAATGACAAAAATCACTTGTTTAAGTATCATACCTCAATTTCCTTCCAAAAAATCACTTCTTTAAGTATCATTATTTTAATAACCCCCACTAATTTCAACACCCCCGAACAGTGAAATTTTGATCACGAACAGTAAATTTTTTTACATAATCTATAAGATGAAACCCTGAATTTTACAGGAAAAGTACTCCCACTGCTGGGAAAAATCTGTTAAGAAAGTATCAGTTCATTATGTAAAGCAATTTTTATAGCATTTTTTCAACTTAAATAGAATTTGCAGCTATATGATTGCATCAAAGGCATAAACCTTGCTGCTTAAAAGAAGCAAAAAGTTATTTTTTTTCAATTTTACTAATGAAAAGATATTGTCTAAACCTATGTGTTTAAAATTTTGATAAAACTACAAAAGCACAATTTGTGACAAAACTTCGAATTTGCTACTTAAATAAGTGATTTAAAAATCACATATTTCAATAAGTCCCCTGACCTGGTTATTATGGCAATATGCTATGCTGTACAATGCTGCATGACTGGCTATATAATATACACTACACTTACCTAGTTCACGCTTTTTTTTAACATGATTAAAATACAGTAACATTACTGTACCAACTGCAGCAGTAAGACCAAGGGTTTTCCATGTGACTGGCTAAAACCATAGAACAAAAATATTACATGCAGGAAAATCAATTTATAATCAAGTCATATCATTTATCCAAAGCCTGATTAGGTTTATCATGTTTATAGCTACATATATAAAATGCTCCGCTGGGCGCAGCTTGATACGACCGCAGAGTTCGAACCCTGAACAGTTTGGGCAAGTATGGACACAACATTCAAGCTTCATACAGCACTGAATTTGGATTGTGATTAAATATTTGACACAGCATAGGTTTCTGACACAGAATGAATGTGGTCTAAGTTTGAATGTTGTGTCCATACTTGCCCCAACTGTTCAGGGTTCGACCTCTGCGGTCGTATCAAGCTGCGCCCAGCGGAGCATTTTATTACATCTGCCATGAAGCCACTTCCTATTTGAAATTTTACAACATTCATTGTAAGAATTTAAACATTTTTAATTTACCTATTCAAACCATATCATTATTATTTGCTTATTTAAATAACCAATTTAAAATGGAAAATTTTAAAGAAAAGAAAGAAAAAAAAAATCCCCCCCCCCAATTTTTTGAACCCCCTTATGATTCATCACCCCCAAACTCAATCCCAGCCTTCCCTTTGTGGTATGGTACCTTGCAGTACAATTTCAGAGAGATCCATACACTTGAACACATTAGTTATTGTCTGGAAACTGTAAAAATGCTTGTTTTTTGGCCCCTTTCTGGCCCCAAATTCCTAAACGTTTAGGGCAATTACCCCCAAACTCAAACCCAGCTTTCCCTTTGTGATATGGAACCTTGTAGTACAATTTCATAAAGATCCATAAACTTACACACAAGTTATTGTCCTGAAACTAGAAAAATGCTTGTTTTTATTTACCCTTTTTGGCCCCTTTCTCCTAAAATTTTAAGGCAATTACCCCCAAAATCAATCCCAGCCTTCCCTTTGTGGTATGGTACCTTGCAGTACAATTTCAGAGAGATCCATACACTTGAAAAAAAATTATTGTCTGGAAACTAGTAAAAAGCTTATTTTTGGCCCCTTTTTGGCTCCTCATTCCTAAACGTTTTGGGCAATTACACCCAAACTAAATTCCAGCTTTCCCTTTGTGATATGGAACCTTGTAGTACAATTTCATAAAGATCCATACACTTACACACAAGTTATTGTCATGAAACTAGAAAAATTATTGTTTTTCCCCCCTTTTTTGGCCCCTAATTCCTAAAACTTGGAGGCAATTAACCCCAAAATCAATCCCAGCATTCCCTTTGTGATACATGTATGGAACCTTGTGATACAATGTCAGAGAGATCCATACACTAACACACAAGTTATGTCTGGAAGTTACAAAAATGCTTATTTTTGGCCCCTTTTTGGCCCCTAATTCCTTAACTGTTGGTACCATAACCCCCAAAATCAATCCCAACCTTCCTTTTGTGGTATTGAACGTAATGGTAAAATTTCATAGAGATCCATTTGCTTAAACTAAAATTAGAGTGCGAAAACCAATGTGTCTTCGGACGACAACGACCAACGTCATACCAATATACGACCACAAAATTTTTTTGCAGTCATATAATAAACAGGATATACAATGCACATGACATACATCAATGTACATACATACATTATTATTTTTTTTGTATAAGTTCAGAAGTACATGGTTTTGTCATGTTTGATGATACAAAATATTGAATGACTTCATATAATTTTGCAAATTATCTTTTCAAATATAAATATTCACATATTTTTGTCCCTGTCATGCCTGTCTAAAGTCAGGAACCTTGTTACCAGTTATCTTATTCATATCCTAATAATTCAATTTGGGAGTCACATGTCTTCTGATTGGCTGAAAGTTTTTGTCTATCAGCTCATAGACATAATTTTATCATGTGACAATGACTTCATCAACGTTTTTTTTATGATTAACATGATTAACTCCTTACAAATGGAATTTAGAATTAAATTATAAGGAATGACTGTAATATTTGTTTCTGCCTATTCGAAATAACCTCAAAAATGTGGTGCACACTTTTAATCCGCTACGTGGGTCATTCTGTGTGCACCACATGTTTGACATTATTTCTTCATAGACAGAAATATATTACAGTCATTCATTAAATTAATTTTGTTTTTTGGAGAATTTGGTGTAGATATACTAATAGCAGATTTTTCATTGTGTCTGTTTAATCCATTGATAACTTTGATAGAATACAGACGATTTACAGCTTGACGATCTATAGTTGAGGCTGACTGTATTTTGTCCTCTTGATTTCTTCTGGTTATTTTTGTCATAAAGATTGCCTCTATGAGATATCGATCATCACATCTCTTTTTTTCATGATCTTTACATCTTAAGAAAAGAAGAATATCTAATACATGTACTACACAGGAACATTTACCTCTAAATATGGTACTGTTATTATATAAGGATAATTTGCATCAATTTACAAAATTCTTAAAAATAAAAAAAGGAAGATAACTCCAATTTAAAAATTACTTAATATTTAGAAGAAAATAAAAATGTTGCAATTTTTCCATTTATAAAGGGCATAACTCTAGAACGGTTAAAGTGACACCACCAAAATTCAAACTTGATCTGTGTTTTGTGGTAATAAGCACTGTGTATAAGTTTCATAACATTTGGTTAAGGCAAACTAAAATTAGAGAACGGAAACAAAAAATTCAGTAACTTTTCCATTTGTAAAGGGGCATAACTCTAGAACGGTAAAAGTGATGCCACCAAAATTCAACTTGATCTGTGTGTTTTGTGGTAATAAGCATTGTGTATAAGTTTCATAACATTTGGTTGTGGCAAACTAAAGTTAGAGAACGGAAACGAAAAATTCAGCAATTTTTCTATTTGTAAAGGGGCATAACTCTAGAACGGTATAAGTGACGCCACCAAAATTCAAACTTGATCTGTGTTTTGTGGTAATAAACATTGTGTATAAGTTTCATAACATTTGGTTGAGGCAAACTCAAGTTAGAGAACGGAAACCAATTTTGGGACGTACGTACATACGTACAGACGGACAAGGGTAAAACTTAATGCCCCTCCGCTACGGCGGGGGCATAAAAAATGTTATACTTAACCATCTGACCATGTATATATGCTACATTAAAATTATTTAAGGAATTACTGTAATTTTTTTTCTGTCTATGAAGAAATAACATCAAAAATGTGGTGCACACTGAATAACCCGTGTAGCGGGTTATTTTAAAGTGTGCACCACATTTTTTATGTTATTTCGAATAGACATGATAGACAGAAAAAATTTTACAGTCATTTCTTATAATTTAATTCTAAATTCCATTTTAAACCGGAGTAAACCATGAAAAAACGTTGATGACGTCACGGTCACATGACAAAATTATGTCTATGAGCTGATACACAAAACAACGTTAGCCAATCAGAAGAAGTGTTACATCCAAAATTAAATTATTGAACAATTGAAGCTATAACATGAACTATTGAGCTCAATGCAAAAATTTATCATCTTACCGATCCTACTTCTCTTTTTGATCGCTTTGGAGGTTTTTTGTCTTCCTCAGGATTTCCATCTGTTTTATCTGAATTCCACCGTTTAACCACAGATTTGAAAGAATTTGTTCTCTGAAGCATTAATTTTTGACAGTTTGAAAGAGATCGAACCTGATGAATTGGTATAAATGAGTTTTGCACAGTATGTCCAGATATGCTTTTACTGGTGCTGGAGTGATTCATAAAGCTCCTGGTCCACTGAAAAAAAATATCATTTATTTATACATGGGATGCTCATAATTCATTAAATTGAGAGTAAGTGTTTTAAGAGTTGTATGTACAATGTACATCATGTACATTTTCAAAATATAAATGTATATCATGTAAACATGCAGTGTTTTGTAATACATGTAGATGTATGATAAATTAATATGTCATTTAATCTTTAAATGGCAAAAATATCCTGTTTACAACAAGTCTTGTACAACATGTACATGTACTTTACTGGACGACAATTCTGGAGTAAAATTTTATACAGTATTGTGATCGCCAAGTACATGGAGAGGAGATCCCAGGTTTATATTTTATGCAAGCATCCAGTCACATTAATTCTGATGCTTTGTTTTCCTGTGTTAGATTGTACAGGAGTTTACCATTTTATCAAGAAATCAGAAATCACGTCAAATAAATAGCATCTTAGTCATATACCTTTTTAATTAAATTTTTAAATTGTGCCAGGTCACTACAGTAAAAACACTATAAGAGGTCCATATTTGTACTTGTTTTTATAATATTATCTATATTTATAAAATTGTCTCACGGAAATAAATTGCTAGCATTCCATGCACTATTTTCGTATCATTTTTTTTAAATTAGTGAGTGCAGAGGGAAACACTGTGGATTTGCTATTAAATTACATATGTTTAGCATTGAATAAATAAATAAACACATAATCCTTGACAGTGAATAATTATATAACTATATCGGATCCCAAGGTTACAAAAGCATGACGAAATACTATATATTAAGTTACTTACAATACTGCATCTTGCTTTAAAATCATTTCTTATCAATATTTTCATTCCATGCCAAGTTGACATTTTCTTAATATTAATGCAATCGTATTAAAAATTGAATGTTGACTAACACGTTTTGTAACAGGGATAAAGGAACAAACACAGATAAGCATCGAAAGCTTCCGAATAAAAATAAACATTTCCGAATACAACCTGTGAGATAACATAAAATAAATCTTTCCTCCTCGAAACAGGCCCATATGCACATAACTTTTTTCATCTTGTTTGTAAATCAATAAAAATTAAACATTTGGGTGAATGTGAGTCCTATTATTAACCTCAGTCAATTTTTAAAAGATTTTTTATAATATAATTTGAATATGTGCTTTTTATTGCCTAACCAATAAAATACAAAGATGTACTGATATAAATTCAAGGAAGGAGGTTATTTTTGAAGGCCGTACGGTGACATATAGTTGCTTAAATCCGGTTCATTTGGACTCTGGTGGATATTTGTCTCATTGGCAATCATACTACATCTCGTTATTTTATATTTAACCGAAAATTACATCAAATTTGTTAGGCTATGTTAAATAGTTGGTTTGTGTAGATCTAAAGCGCGATCGACCTGCATTGGATTTATTGATTGATTGATTGGTGTTTGCTTTACGCCGCATCAGCACAAAAAGACCTTCTTTGGATAGTCCGATGGAAATCAATTAGCTGCACTTGAAACAAAAAGTACTTGGGGACAGGACATTTTTTTAGCCCTCCCCTTTTTGTAAAATCTGTTATTTTGTTTATTTTCATTTAATTTCAATTGCTTAAGCATTTTCTGTAATATATTTACATAGTTATACTAGAAATAACATGCATTTACTATTTACTATCAGTTCCTAGTTTACTATCCAAAGCGGTCACTGATAATATATAGATCAGTGACCGCTGTGAAAAGTGAACTAGGAACTGATAATAAATAGTAGATACATGTTATTTCTAGTATATTTATTAGAGACTTTTGACGATTAGTCTGTATCAATGAAAATCCAGTGGATGAATTTATTACCATCCAGCGAAACACCAAAGGTGACTGTGCTAACAAGCAACAAGCAATTATAGACATGTATATATGCTGACAAGCAAAAACAAATTCATACAAGCCTTTCTCAGACCTTTTCTAAAGAAAACGAATAGGAATAGTATCAAGATTGGACGTCCTAATTAACGTACATCTATCGCTGGTTTATTGACTGCTTCGCACAAATACATGTACTATTCAAAAACAAGACAGATGGCAATTTTACTGATATATTATGTATATATATACACGAAAGTGACTGTTTATAAATACTGTTGACATATGTATATATAATAGTGGACAGTGTACATGATAACGAAATACACAATATATAATTGAGTATTTATGTATTGAGATAATTTACTTTCCGGATATTTTGTATTTGTTGACAAACTGTGTTATGGTAAATCGTACATCAGTAGGACGGTAAGTTATACTGTTACTTCAAGTGCACTCAATACATGCATACAATTTCATAAGTCCATTTTTGAAAATCCTGTTTAAAACATTGAAATCACAGGCATTTGTTTCTGAAATTTTTTTCCCCTATAAACCTTAATAAAGGTACATAGGGAAAATAAATTCAGAGACAAGTCCCTGTGATTGAAATGTATGATTTTGAAAAATAATTCTTTTGTAAACTGAAGTGAATTGGAATTAATTGTTTGCCTTGGTATGAAAATAGCAGAGAACAAATTCTACTACGATATACAATGGTCGGTATACCTTCATGACTAGCCTTTTCTTTTTATTAAGTTGTCGATTAAAAAAAATTCTGAAACATCATAGGAATGCAGTGGCGGATTCAAAAAGGGGGGGTCCGGTGGTTGGAATGGTTGGAATCCCCCTTTTTATTTGACAACTATTTTTGGTATGTAGACATATGGTTGGAACCCCCCTTTTAGAAATGGTTGGACCCGGCTGGGAATGCCGTTTTTTCATCTGAAAAAAATTTAGGAAAACTTGATGTTGATGTCTGAAGTTGACCGATTGTTGATGTCAAGATTTTAAGTTGACCGATTATTGTTGTCAGATTTTAAGTTGACCGATTATAAAAGTGAATAGATGGCGTCACATAATATATTATATATATTAGAAACTGTTTTAACGATGATTTCTACTGATATGTTTGCTTGTAAAAAGCTGCATGCATGCATATGCACAAATGTATACGTATGTTTTCTAAATTTTGGTAAGATTGCTGTACCATTGACGTAAATGAGGGTCTACATTTCGTTATGTATTTTTTTAAAAATATTTAGGCCATTATCCCTGTTCTTTATTTGTTTGCCCCATTATTCTGTGTTCTTTATATTTTAGCACAGAATTTTCACTATTATTTATTTTTATGGCCCAATTTTTACTCTAATGATTTTTTTTTGCCAATAATTCACGTTTCGGTAAACCCTCATCCATACCCTCGTATATCCCATAGCATCTCTATTTCATTCTTACATGAGTTATGTACCTCGTAATATTTCTATTAGTGATAAAACGATATCGTATACACGTTATAGGAAATTTTGACACAGAATTACTTGTCTATGATCTCAAGTCAAACTTCAAGACCAATTTCTAGATTACTAGTACTGCTGCAATACTCCCAGTCTCAGATCATAAAAAAAGCTGGTGTATGACGTTCGAATATAGAACATCTCATTGTATATATGGGTTTCTTTTACACTTTTTTTTAATTAATTTCGAGATGACTATTAACAGAATATAACCCATTCTATCCATTCCCCATCCCCATAGTACTTTTCTATAAGAGACAAAAAGGCTATTAGACTGTATGGTGACCGGTAGCTATAGATGTCTACTTTGATTAATTTTATTAGTTGCGTGTACTAAATATACGTGTACTACTCATTACATGTATATAGAAATAAGGGTTTTTTAAAACACGTAAAGTGAGTCATGAAGACAAGCCTCTGTCGTTGATGTTAACCAAATGTCAATCTTAATTTAGAAAATAAAGGAAATGCGAATATTCAACTTTTAGTTGTTTTTAACAAATGTCATAGTCTTCTTTTTAAGGAAAATGTGAAAGTGCACACCAAAATAAAGAAAATGTGATAATTCCAGAGCTACAAAGACCTTCACGTTTTCTTAAAACAATTGATTTGTAATTTTGATATATATACGATAAGAAACTTTAATACTATGTGACCTATGAAAGAGATTAATAAATAAAATACTTAAGATAACACATAAGTCATTTAACCTGGTCAAAACAGAAGGTAAGTTTTAATGTCTAAAGTATTTTTACATTTTGTGTATTATAATGAATGAAGTATTTTTTACATTTTATGGTATAAATGAGAACAATGATATTCTACTAAGAATGGTTCAATATCAGTAGATTTTCAACCTCCTCATGGTTTTGCTGACACAAAAAGGGAAGGGTTGTGTTGGATTTTGGGTTTTTATTGTGAGTTTTCAATGCGAGTGGGGGTATAAGTCTATTGGACAAGACCTGGGATATTATGATTTGGATGAACATCACTGGATGTAACATAAATATACGTACTCTTGCTTTATAAATTAAATATATTTGTCTGTCCGGTTTTCCTGACGTTTAGGACTTTTTAAAGTGCTCCTATATTTTATTCAAATTGATTTGTCATGAGTTGAAACTGATCTAGGATAACGTTATGTTTAGCTTAAATTACTACATGTACTATCCCTACAGTTTTTTCTAAGATTTTTATATCGTTATTACAATTTGGTTTATTGTAGATATGATAAAATTGAGAATGGAAATGGGGAATGTGTCAAAGAGACAACAACCCGACCATAGAACAGACAACAGCAGAAGGTCACCAACAGGTCTTCAATGCAGCGAGAAATTCCCGCACCCGGAGGCGTCCTTCAGCTGGCCCCTAAACAAATATATATACTAGTTCAGTGACAATGAACGCCATACTAAACTCCAAATTGAAACTAAAATTAAAAATAATACAAGACTAACAAAGGCTAGAGGCTCCTGACTTGGGACAGGCGCAAAAATGCGGCGGGGTTAAACATGTTTATGAGATCTCAACCCTCCCCCTATACCTCTAGCCAATGTAGAAAAGTAAACGCATAACAATACGCACATTAAAATTCAGTTCAAGAGAAGTCCGAGTCTGATGTCAGAAGATGTAACCAAAGAAAATAAACAAAATGACAATAATACATAAATAACAACAGACTACTATCAGTTAACTGACATGCCAGCTCCAGACTTCAATTAAACTGATTGAAAGATTATGTCTTCATCATATGAATATCAGGCACAATCCTTCCCGTTAGGGGTTTAGTATCATACCATCATAACATATATGAGAAGAACAAAACCCGTGTCATGCCAACAACTGGTTTTTAAATAAATGTGTTTAGTGCCGATGCAAAGACCCTATAAGTGAATCAATATTAACGCCAAAATATGCAATCTTTAATGACCTGACAACAGTATCGTAACTATATCCCTTCTTAATAAGTCTATTTAAAGGTTTTGTTAGCTTCAGAGGTGAATACTGACATTTTTGTGCTTTATAAAGAATATTTCCATAAAAAATTGGATGTGAAATACATGAACGTATAAGAAGTCTGCATGTTGAGCTATATTTACGAATGATGTCCTTATACCGATGATAAAATTTAGTAAATGTTTTGACTAGTTTGTGATATCGAAAATCCTGGTGTAATAATTTTTCAGTAATACATAAATTTCTCTCGTTAAAATCTAAAACATTGTTACATACACGAGCGAATCGTACAAGTTGAGATATATAAACACCGTAAGATGGTGACAAGGGAACGTCACCATCTAAAAATGGATAATTAACGATAGGAAATGAAAAATCATCTCTTTTATCATATATTTTAGTATTAAGCTTTCCATTAATGATATAGATATCAAGATCGAGGAAAGGGCAGTGGTCATTGTTAGTATTAGCTTTATTTAAAGTAAGTTCAACAGGATAAATTTCTTTAGTATACATACTGAAGTCGTCATTTTTGAGAGCCAAAATATCATCCAAATATCTAAAAGTATTATTAAATTTGTGTATCAGATGTTGTTTCGATGGGTCTTTGCTGATTTTTGTCATAAATTGTAACTCATAGCAATACAAAAAAAGGTCCGCAATAAGTGGTGCACAGTTAGTCCCCATTGGAATTCCGATAACCTGACGATATACGGAATCTCCAAAGCGAACAAAAATGTTATCTAGTAAAAATTCAAGGGCATATATAGTATCAAAGCATGTCCAATTGACATAGTTTTTTTGTTTATTGCTACTAAAAAATCACCTAAAAGAGTTTGAACATAGAATGTCTCTCTTAATTGTTGGTGGACAAATTTCCCTATATAAGAGGGTGTGGATGGGGGTTAACAGAATAGAAAATAATGGACGAAAAATATAAAGAATAGAGAAAAATGCGCCAAAAAAAAAAAAGAATAGAGAATAATGGGCAGAAAATATAAAGAAAAGAGCTTATGGAGGTACCAGTGTCAAACTAAGTTTTTTGCATTTTTATAAAGTATAGACCGAATCTTTTTTAATTAATCAAAATAGATAGGCATATATAAGAAAAACCTAGGTGCGAACATGGGATCAGAAACTATTGGGGTCTTAGTGGGCAGGCATATCTTACTTGATTTACATATACCGGTATATATCCATACATATGTTCATATTTTCCCTTACAATGTGAAACAATGAGATATGCTCCAAAAACCTGGTGGTCATGCAGCAATCTGTATTGGTAATAAATTAGAGAAAAATATAAAAACTGCACTTACAAATGTCTATAATGATATAAAGTTTATTGTCAGGCCCCTTTGAGAATTGATTTTAATTCAGATAAATGCAATGAAATCTAAAAGATAAATTGTGTAAATTAAGCACGCGAATTGAAACGAGATTATAACCTGCATTATTAAATTTACGTAAAAATCTACTTGTTTTGTAGATATTAATATCATTAAGAGGGTGGTAAAGGGTTATTTTCGTGCAACGTGTTTTGCCATTTTTATTTCACGTGCAGCCGTGAAAAAGGTTCGTTATTCACCGTGTTTCTTGAAATCGGTAAAAAGACCAACGTGCAAGAAATTTTTAATTGTTCGTTCATCGTGAAATGGCAATTTTATTTCGCGTTCTTCCGTGCAGATACCCCCCCCCCCCCCCTTTACGCCCCTCCATTAAGATTCAAATGTCCTCAATTATGAAAAAATGAAACTTTATTTTACTGTATGATATAATTAGACATTAAAAAACAGGTGCCCCGATTAGGTTACGTGATTTACATCAACGTTTTCTTACTATGACGTTTACCGCCAAACTCCGAAACAGTGGTGACGTTGCTTCGCTAAACTATCACGTTAAATTCAACGTAGTGTAGCAAGGAAGACGTTACCACTGTTTCGGAGTTTGGTTTACCGCCACAAGCCTGGAAATGTCAAGGCGGGTCACATATATGTACCTTTGTGTACTTTTGGGTGGTGCAGCATCACAGAGGTGGCGTGAATCAGATGTGGATACTAAAAAATTCCAAAGATCTTTTAGAGTACATACGATCTAAGACTCTCTCATCTTGCAATAGTATTTAAACATTTGACTTTTCTACACTTTACACAAGTATTCCCCATTCCAAACTAAAAGACAAATTGAAAGAGTTGGTATTACTTTGTTTCATTAAAAAGAATGGCGAACGTAGATACAAGTATCTTGTCTTGGGGAGGGATAAATCCTACTTTGTAAAGAATCACTCTGACTTAAACAAAAAATTCTCTGAAACTGACATTATCAAGATGCTTGATTTCTTGATTGACAACATATTTGTTACGTTTGGAGGACGTGTTTTTCAACAGACTGTCGGAATTCCAATGGGAACTAATTGTGCCCCTCTTCTTGATGACTTGTTTCTTTATTATTATGAGGCTGACTTCATACAGGAACTTCTTAGGAAGAAAGATAAGAAGTTAGCAATATCCTTTAACTCTACGTTCCGCTATATAGATGATGTTCTCTCACTAAATAATACAAAATTTGGTGACTATGTTGAACGAATCTATCCCATCGAACTAGAGATAAAGGATACTACATATACAGTTAAGTCTGCCTCATATCTTGACTTACATCTAGAAATTGACAATGAGGGTCGGTTGAAAACAAATCTTTACGACAAAAGAGATGATTTCAGCTTCCCAATTGTGAACTTTCCATTTCTATGTAGCAACATTCCAGCAGCGCCTGCATACGGAGTATATATCTCCCAATTGATACGATATTCCCGGGCTTGTGTTTCCTATCATGATTTCCTTGATAGAGGATTGCTGCTCACAAGGAAGCTATTAAGCCAAGAGTTCCAAATGGTGAAGTTGAAATCATCCTTTCGTAAATTTTACGGACGCCATCACGAGTTGGTTGACCGTTATGGAATAACCGTTTCACAGATGATATCGGATATGTTCCTTATGTCGTAACTACAATACCCTTCCCTTTTCACGAATGTGACTTACCGAATTAGACTATTTACCGGATTTGTAATAACATAAGCAACACGACGGGTGCCACATGTGGAGCAGGATCTGCTTACCCTTCCGGAGCACCTGAGATCACCCCCAGTTTTTGGTGGGGTTCGTGTTGCTTAGTCTTTAGTTTTCTATGTTGTGCCATCTGTACTATTATTTGTCTGTTTGTCTTTTTATTTTTGGCCATGGCGTTGTCAGTTTGTTTTCGATCTATGAGTTTGACTGTCCGTCTGGTATCTTTCGTCCCTCTTCTATACATAAGGGCAAATCATCACAGCTACATTTGTGAACTGTTAAGTAGCTATAACTACATGTGTGTAATATAAGGTAGCTACAACATCGCAGCTCAACATATGTGTACTTTTGGGTAGCTATATTATATCTTATATTACTGACTTTATAACCTAAGTATAAAGAAGTCTTAAACATGATTCAAAACTGCAATTTGTTCAATGTCTGGCAGTTTTTGGCATTTATCCAAAACAGAACAAGAAGGACATTATTAACCAAAAGCAAAGCTCTACTGGTTGTAAGACTATATTATTGCGTTTCAGATGCAGTTACTTGTTTGTGGTTATAAGGATGTCATTCGATGCAAATATTTACAATTAAAGGCGTAATATTTCTAATACTTTATCTACACAGCCTTCAATCGGAATGTGTAAGGTTGAATGACGTTTTGATTTTATTGTTGCAAATTCATAAAAGAGAAACTCTTGTAAAATTAATGTTCACTAGGTTTATCATTTCTTTTTTATTTTGACCTTTCAGGTGAAATCAAGGGAAATTGGTCCTCAAACTCTTTAGTTACGATAATGTCACAATTTTAGACACGAAATTTAAATAAACAATTATAATTGATTATATATATATATATATATAATTTAGGAGTTCCAAAAAAGGCATAAAATTAAAAATAGATCCAACAATCAATCCTTAAACTGTCATTATGAAATAGGAAATTATATTAGTCATCTTATAACGTTATCTTTAAGTTTAAAATACAATTGATTCATAGTCACAAGTCATTTAAATTTCCAACGTAATAATTTTAGATATTTCTCGTTTTTCAATAACTGATTGTATGTAAATTGCATCATGTACGTATGCATGTATAAAGAAACGTTACATAATTTAAAGATCATAAAATTTTATGTTACTGCCCTCTGAACTCTCATAATTCATATAGTACATATATAAATGTCAATGACAAAGAAATTTCCACATTTCAGTGTTTTTATAAAGAAAAAAGTCCATATTTGAAAGTCAATTCGATACAGGTGAATATTTACATGTAGCATGGACGGTTGAAAGCACATGATAATGTATATTCAAACTAGCACGGTGTGTAAATAAATGAAACGAAGTTTATCAGGTAAGTTTAAATTGTATATTACTTTAAATACTTAAATAAATTAAAGTAAAGGAAGGTTTATCTATTATGAGATTATGCATGTATGAAATATGAATTCGACATGTACATGTATTTTAAAAATTCAATATATTCGGAAGCCACAAACAGTTTCGCTGCATACGAGTTAGCGAGTCGAAAGACATGCCTATAATTTTGAATGAAATTTTCACTGTTACATTTTATTAAAACAAAAGCACCACACTGTTTGTGAGAAATTAAACGAAAATAGAGTGAGACTGAAGTAACAGAAAATATTTGTGGAAAAAGAAAGAAAATAGCAGCATATAGTTAGTAAACACTATATTATTGGACTGACGTAAGAGGATATCATCATACATACATGTACAAACAAATTTAAAGTTCAAAACTAACATAAACCCAGTCTTATACACCATTGGAGAAATAAATCGAAACTAAAAGCATATTTAGGGGACAACCTTCAATATAACAATTTGGACTTAAACCGCGCCTTATACATGTGCTATAAATGAGACGATAACACTGCTGGTTGGCTGTTGGTCGTCTTGATGACTTGATGCCACTGTCTCGGCATTTGCCATTCTTTATGATAACTATAGTACAGTCATATAAGATATATTCAGAACAATGCATGAATTGATATCGAATCATCCCAGGACTCAATGATTGAGTTATAAATGGCTACTAAACGCCAATATTCAGGGATATCCTTGACGATAACACGTTAACTTGAATTGAAGACATTAGTTCTTTATAACATTTTATCTCATTAAAGAAAATTCGCACCAATTATTTTTGTCAAATATTTTGTGTGTGTAATGTACAGTACAAGTCCAAAAATATATCCAACATTCAGAATCAGTTTAATTACAACATCCAAAAATTTATTTCAACTCTCTTTTTTCATTTCCACCCCATAAAACATAGAAATGAAAGAGAAAGGGAAAGAAAAAAGAGAAAACATACACTTTAATTAAAGGGAACTACATTCGTGAGCAACAAAAATAGGGGTCATTAATTGTGGTCTTGGGCCACACTTGGGCAGGATTTTAACGTGCTATCTCACACTGTAACAGTACACAGGAAGACATGTTATATTATCTGAACACATCATTCTGACTCCAAATCGTCCAGTATTTGCTCCTCATAAATGTAATATTCATGTCAAAGCCCTTGGTTTGACACCGTCGCTTAATGAAACAACCGGCTCCGTTGCCACTATCTCAACCCCTGCACTCAAGGCGTCACAATGAGACCACTAAGGCATTTTTCAGGGCTCGGGGTGGGGTATTAAGACAATCATGATCGTATACAATACAGTTGGCATTCTGAACTTTAAAATTTTAATCCCTATGATAAGTTTATTCACATTTTGTTGTAAAACTTTTCAATAGCCAGTACATACTATTAAAATTATACTTTTTAGAATGACATCGACTAAAGAGTTATTAAGAACTGGTTTCCATAGTATCTGGAGACCACATAATGGAAAGCTGAGCCATTTAACAGATATACCACGAGAAAAACAGTATATGGAATACGGAAACTTAGCAACTGTTATGCATCTCGATACATCACTCAAGTGCTTCAGAAATGAAAAATTAGAAGCAAAAAGATATAAAGAGTTTTCTGTTCTTGAATCAAAAGATATCAATGCTGTGTGTTTTTACTGCGACGGTTCAAATTCCGAAAATGAAGATTTCGACAATAATACTTTTCACAACCAATCCTTGCACGGAGGTGTCAAGTTTATGGTTGACGCCAAACATATGTTGAACGAGGTCTCAAACTGGAATATTTATTTCATTGAAGTAATAGACATGGATTTTTATTCTGTTGCAAGACTTTTAATAACTACTGCGCGATACGAAACTTTTCCTAAGCTTGATATCTATACTAGAAATGCTCCTTTATATCACGACAAAAATAAACTTTACTGCTTAACTTGTCATGAGAATTACAATGGAAAGATAGTTAAATATGTTGTTGAAATAATAATTGAAGACGAGGTATTGACAAAAACTCTTTTTTGGAACGAATTGACTGTTTCCGTCATTAAGCATGAGGGGCACCGACGATTCAAATGTAAAAGAGTGTTAGATCGAGATAAAAGTATGTGCATGCTTGTATCTAAAGAGGACTGTTTGGCAGGAATAATTGCATGGATGTTAGTACGTAAACGTCTTAATGTTTATAGAAAATTCGATTATACTACTAAACGTCGTTTGTCAGCCATTCATTCAGTTATAAAGACTAAATATCCTCCTAGGATTCCAGTCTCAGATGACGACGATTCACAGATGAGTATTAGTGATATTGAATTTGAGAGTGAGAATAGTAGCATTAATACAGAGAACAGTCTACATTTTGATATGGATACTAAACTAAATGCTGTTTGCGATTATATAGCATATACGTTTTATTTCTCAAATAGTTCAGTAGACGTAACATCGCTGCAGTGTGCACTCGAAAATTGTGATATGAATGTAACTTTTCCCACAAAGACTGAAATAATGGCTTGTTTAGTTTTAGTTCTGAAGTCTATAAATGACCCCCTTTTATTATACCAGGAAGAAAATCGACGAAAAATACTTCTTGGTATGATTCCGTGTGTAAAATTCATTAAACAAAAGTACCAGTCACTTCCAGAATGTAAACACGAATGGTGTGTACATGACGACTATATAAAATGCCCTGATGTTGAACGCACGCTTTACGGATACCTTTTGTTCACTTTAGAACGGTGGCAAAAAGAAGACCATCAGATTTATGTTAGAGAAGACAAGACATAATACATATCGCTATAAATTACATTTTTCAAACGGTCGTACATATATACTGTATACACTATAATGTGATTCAAACAAATTCTAAACATTTCAATCAATTGTTGTTGCTACCTTTTAGAAATAATTATAGCAAAAACGTTTTTAAATGTAAACATTTTAAACTATCGTTACAATATATACATTCAATGTTTACAGTGAACATCGGGAAAGATTCCTGGTACGTTATCATATCTTTAAAATTGTTTTAATATATCTTGGTATTTTCTCCATATTTTATAAGACCTTTACATGAAATATTTGTCATAAATAGTTTTGAAATATCAATTATCTGTATTCACATACAGGCATTACAATATAGCGACACAGAGAAACAACTGCAAATGTATTGCATATACAACATACAATATTTAGTTTTTAATTTTGGCTGTTCTTGGTGAAGGTAAATATAGAAAAGTTCTTTGGAAGAAATTTATAAAACGTTATTTTCATTTTCTAGCACTTTTTAAATCGGCACCGTTAGTACTGTACACTGAGGTTATCACCGGAACAGTAGTCAGTGCTTCGGTATATATACTGACATGATTTAAAATATACTTTTCTTAAATCAACGTTGATAAATTAAGAAATAAAAAAAACGGTTCCAACCCCATCACGTAAAGCCTAGATGAATTTGTCTTTTCTGTAACAGTCCCATTTAGTCATATATATATCCTCACGTGTTCAGGTACTTATACATCCTTTGCTTTTTAATTTTTTGTGTTTCAGCATTCCAGATGAATTTATGTGAACCCACAAAAGCGTTTGGACGCACCATCTTTGACATTATTACGTGATTTGTTGTGAATATTGAAGAAAAATTCATTACAGGTGTAATACCACCATTGATTTTCCCCTATTAGTCTTTGTTAAATTTGCACTTTTCAAAAAATTGTGCAGAATTTATCTTTGTTTCAAATAAAGAAATACTTGGCATGAGTAAAGTTTTATCCTGTCCAGTACTATAGAAAAAATTTCACATAACATTTCATTGCATATAAGAAAATAACCATCACTGGAAGTTAACCAATCAAATTTCCCCCCTTTTTTAACCTGTGTACAAGCTTTAGTAACCATGTAACCTCAAGTTTCCAAAATATTCTATAGAAAACCCAAATAAAGAAATAATGGTGCTTTGAAATACCCAAGATATATGTTTATGACTCAGAAATGTTTTACTGCAATGAAATGTAGGATCAATTACCTACAACTGTCAAATTCAAGGGAATATTTTTTTTCGACCTATTTTCGTATGCAACCGGATGTGACGTACTATGATTTGGTGGTATTACACCTAAAGAAGACTTTTTTGTTGAATAAACTGAATGTGACTTTTTTCCTTTGTAATACTGGTTATTTCAAGCATTCCTGTCAAGTTTTGTCATAATCAGTTCAATAGTTTGAGAAAAATCTAGTATAATGTAAGACGACATCTACAGCGATTCGAGCAAAATTTCTTCGAAAAATTCAAACCAAGCCGCATCATGATAGAATATAGTGTGGACCAATAAATGATCAAATATTTATCTCATCTGCCTACAAACAGTTGAATATGATACAAAAGATGACTTTAGGATGATAAATACTACTAATGGACCTCTTATTCTTCCTTATAAAGTCTCTTTTGGTCCATTTATACCTCTCATTTCCTCAAAATTTCTACTTTTTAGGCCAATAAATAAAAATTTTGGGGTAACTTTCACTCATTTATGATAGGAATGTTATTATAAATGATTAATTGAAGTATTCAAGCTGCTTGAACTATCCGTATAAAAGTTTACTGTCTCCAAGGAGGTTTCAATAAGTCCTTGCGTAAAACTTAAATTTACGCCGCGTTCCAGAGAGGGACATAAAAAACTTCTCTTTTGGTGAATAATTTGTTGTTACTGCTTTAAAAATAATTTCATTTACTTAAAACTATATATTTATTAAAGTATTTCTTAGGAAAAATTTTCTAGTATAGCAGAATATAAGAAATAAGGAGAAAAAGCTCCCAAAGACTCTAAGTATGGCTTGTTCTGTCTACTAATATTCATGGTAAAGTCCTATTTCAAGGAAATTTTCTCATAAAATGTATTTTGGAGACTCAATCCACTCAGAATATTTCATTATTTGTAATATTTCACTTAAATAGCAAGAAATTTTAACACATGAGAGTACTCACAAGGTCAAAGGTGCATGTACAGCTTCCCATATTAGGTGTAATACCACCATCTTTGACATTATTACGTGATTTGTTGTGAATATTGAAGAAAAATTCATTACAGGTGTAATACCACCATTGATTTTCCCCTATTAGTCTTTGTTAAATTTGCACTTTTCAAAAAATTGTGCAGAATTTATCTTTGTTTCAAATAAAGAAATACTTGGCATGAGTAAAGTTTTATCCTGTCCAGTACTATAGAAAAAATTTCACATAACATTTCATTGCATATAAGAAAATAACCATCACTGGAAGTTAACCAATCAAATTTTCCCCCTTTTTTAACCTGTGTACAAGCTTTAGTAACCATGTAACCTCAAGTTTCCAAAATATTCTATAGAAAACCCAAATAAAGAAATAATGGTGCTTTGAAATACCCAAGATATATGTTTATGACTCAGAAATGTTTTACTGCAATGAAATGTAGGATCAATTACCTACAACTGTCAAATTCAAGGGAATATTTTTTTTCGACCTATTTTCGTATGCAACCGGATGTGACGTACTATGATTTGGTGGTATTACACCTAAAGAAGACTTTTTTGTTGAATAAACTGAATGTGACTTTTTTCCTTTGTAATACTGGTTATTTCAAGCATTCCTGTCAAGTTTTGTCATAATCAGTTCAATAGTTTGAGAAAAATCTAGTATAATGTAAGACGACATCTACAGCGATTCGAGCAAAATTTCTTCGAAAAATTCAAACCAAGCCGCATCATGATAGAATATAGTGTGGACCAATAAATGATCAAATATTTATCTCATCTGCCTACAAACAGTTGAATATGATACAAAAGATGACTTTAGGATGATAAATACTACTAATGGACCTCTTATTCTTCCTTATAAAGTCTCTTTTGGTCCATTTATACCTCTCATTTCCTCAAAATTTCTACTTTTTAGGCCAATAAATAAAAATTTTGGGGTAACTTTCACTCATTTATGATAGGAATGTTATTATAAATGATTAATTGAAGTATTCAAGCTGCTTGAACTATCCGTATAAAAGTTTACTGTCTCCAAGGAGGTTTCAATAAGTCCTTGCGTAAAACTTAAATTTACGCCGCGTTCCAGAGAGGGACATAAAAAACTTCTCTTTTGGTGAATAATTTGTTGTTACTGCTTTAAAAATAATTTCATTTACTTAAAACTATATATTTATTAAAGTATTTCTTAGGAAAAATTTTCTAGTATAGCAGAATATAAGAAATAAGGAGAAAAAGCTCCCAAAGACTCTAAGTATGGCTTGTTCTGTCTACTAATATTCATGGTAAAGTCCTATTTCAAGGAAATTTTCTCATAAAATGTATTTTGGAGACTCAATCCACTCAGAATATTTCATTATTTGTAATATTTCACTTAAATAGCAAGAAATTTTAACACATGAGAGTACTCACAAGGTCAAAGGTGCATGTACAGCTTCCCATATTAGGTGTAATACCACCATCTTTGACATTATTACGTGATTTGTTGTGAATATTGAAGAAAAATTCATTACAGGTGTAATACCACCATTGATTTTCCCCTATTAGTCTTTGTTAAATTTGCACTTTTCAAAAAATTGTGCAGAATTTATCTTTGTTTCAAATAAAGAAATACTTGGCATGAGTAAAGTTTTATCCTGTCCAGTACTATAGAAAAAATTTCACATAACATTTCATTGCATATAAGAAAATAACCATCACTGGAAGTTAACCAATCAAATTTTCCCCCTTTTTTAACCTGTGTACAAGCTTTAGTAACCATGTAACCTCAAGTTTCCAAAATATTCTATAGAAAACCCAAATAAAGAAATAATGGTGCTTTGAAATACCCAAGATATATGTTTATGACTCAGAAATGTTTTACTGCAATGAAATGTAGGATCAATTACCTACAACTGTCAAATTCAAGGGAATATTTTTTTTCGACCTATTTTCGTATGCAACCGGATGTGACGTACTATGATTTGGTGGTATTACACCTAAAGAAGACTTTTTTGTTGAATAAACTGAATGTGACTTTTTTCCTTTGTAATACTGGTTATTTCAAGCATTCCTGTCAAGTTTTGTCATAATCAGTTCAATAGTTTGAGAAAAATCTAGTATAATGTAAGACGACATCTACAGCGATTCGAGCAAAATTTCTTCGAAAAATTCAAACCAAGCCGCATCATGATAGAATATAGTGTGGACCAATAAATGATCAAATATTTATCTCATCTGCCTACAAACAGTTGAATATGATACAAAAGATGACTTTAGGATGATAAATACTACTAATGGACCTCTTATTCTTCCTTATAAAGTCTCTTTTGGTCCATTTATACCTCTCATTTCCTCAAAATTTCTACTTTTTAGGCCAATAAATAAAAATTTTGGGGTAACTTTCACTCATTTATGATAGGAATGTTATTATAAATGATTAATTGAAGTATTCAAGCTGCTTGAACTATCCGTATAAAAGTTTACTGTCTCCAAGGAGGTTTCAATAAGTCCTTGCGTAAAACTTAAATTTACGCCGCGTTCCAGAGAGGGACATAAAAAACTTCTCTTTTGGTGAATAATTTGTTGTTACTGCTTTAAAAATAATTTCATTTACTTAAAACTATATATTTATTAAAGTATTTCTTAGGAAAAATTTTCTAGTATAGCAGAATATAAGAAATAAGGAGAAAAAGCTCCCAAAGACTCTAAGTATGGCTTGTTCTGTCTACTAATATTCATGGTAAAGTCCTATTTCAAGGAAATTTTCTCATAAAATGTATTTTGGAGACTCAATCCACTCAGAATATTTCATTATTTGTAATATTTCACTTAAATAGCAAGAAATTTTAACACATGAGAGTACTCACAAGGTCAAAGGTGCATGTACAGCTTCCCATATTAGGTGTAATACCACCATTGATTTTCCCCTATTAGTCTTTGTTAAATTTGCACTTTTCAAAAAATTGTGCAGAATTTATCTTTGTTTCAAATAAAGAAATACTTGGCATGAGTAAAGTTTTATCCTGTCCAGTACTATAGAAAAAATTTCACATAACATTTCATTGCATATAAGAAAATAACCATCACTGGAAGTTAACCAATCAAATTTTCCCCCTTTTTTAACCTGTGTACAAGCTTTAGTAACCATGTAACCTCAAGTTTCCAAAATATTCTATAGAAAACCCAAATAAAGAAATAATGGTGCTTTGAAATACCCAAGATATATGTTTATGACTCAGAAATGTTTTACTGCAATGAAATGTAGGATCAATTACCTACAACTGTCAAATTCAAGGGAATATTTTTTTTCGACCTATTTTCGTATGCAACCGGATGTGACGTACTATGATTTGGTGGTATTACACCTAAAGAAGACTTTTTTGTTGAATAAACTGAATGTGACTTTTTTCCTTTGTAATACTGGTTATTTCAAGCATTCCTGTCAAGTTTTGTCATAATCAGTTCAATAGTTTGAGAAAAATCTAGTATAATGTAAGACGACATCTACAGCGATTCGAGCAAAATTTCTTCGAAAAATTCAAACCAAGCCGCATCATGATAGAATATAGTGTGGACCAATAAATGATCAAATATTTATCTCATCTGCCTACAAACAGTTGAATATGATACAAAAGATGACTTTAGGATGATAAATACTACTAATGGACCTCTTATTCTTCCTTATAAAGTCTCTTTTGGTCCATTTATACCTCTCATTTCCTCAAAATTTCTACTTTTTAGGCCAATAAATAAAAATTTTGGGGTAACTTTCACTCATTTATGATAGGAATGTTATTATAAATGATTAATTGAAGTATTCAAGCTGCTTGAACTATCCGTATAAAAGTTTACTGTCTCCAAGGAGGTTTCAATAAGTCCTTGCGTAAAACTTAAATTTACGCCGCGTTCCAGAGAGGGACATAAAAAACTTCTCTTTTGGTGAATAATTTGTTGTTACTGCTTTAAAAATAATTTCATTTACTTAAAACTATATATTTATTAAAGTATTTCTTAGGAAAAATTTTCTAGTATAGCAGAATATAAGAAATAAGGAGAAAAAGCTCCCAAAGACTCTAAGTATGGCTTGTTCTGTCTACTAATATTCATGGTAAAGTCCTATTTCAAGGAAATTTTCTCATAAAATGTATTTTGGAGACTCAATCCACTCAGAATATTTCATTATTTGTAATATTTCACTTAAATAGCAAGAAATTTTAACACATGAGAGTACTCACAAGGTCAAAGGTGCATGTACAGCTTCCCATATTAGGTGTAATACCACCATTGATTTTCCCCTATTAGTCTTTGTTAAATTTGCACTTTTCAAAAAATTGTGCAGAATTTATCTTTGTTTCAAATAAAGAAATACTTGGCATGAGTAAAGTTTTATCCTGTCCAGTACTATAGAAAAAATTTCACATAACATTTCATTGCATATAAGAAAATAACCATCACTGGAAGTTAACCAATCAAATTTTCCCCCTTTTTTAACCTGTGTACAAGCTTTAGTAACCATGTAACCTCAAGTTTCCAAAATATTCTATAGAAAACCCAAATAAAGAAATAATGGTGCTTTGAAATACCCAAGATATATGTTTATGACTCAGAAATGTTTTACTGCAATGAAATGTAGGATCAATTACCTACAACTGTCAAATTCAAGGGAATATTTTTTTTCGACCTATTTTCGTATGCAACCGGATGTGACGTACTATGATTTGGTGGTATTACACCTAAAGAAGACTTTTTTGTTGAATAAACTGAATGTGACTTTTTTCCTTTGTAATACTGGTTATTTCAAGCATTCCTGTCAAGTTTTGTCATAATCAGTTCAATAGTTTGAGAAAAATCTAGTATAATGTAAGACGACATCTACAGCGATTCGAGCAAAATTTCTTCGAAAAATTCAAACCAAGCCGCATCATGATAGAATATAGTGTGGACCAATAAATGATCAAATATTTATCTCATCTGCCTACAAACAGTTGAATATGATACAAAAGATGACTTTAGGATGATAAATACTACTAATGGACCTCTTATTCTTCCTTATAAAGTCTCTTTTGGTCCATTTATACCTCTCATTTCCTCAAAATTT